TTCCTTTTTGTAAAAAAATATCTCCTTTATTTTACCAGAAAGTCGAGTAATTTTCTTTTAAATTTAGCTTATTTTCTGCTAATAAAATTACTAAAATCATAAACTTGTGTGTGTGTAAGTAAAAATGTGAGGTGAACCTTACCTGAACTATTATTGATTGCTAAATAAGTGAACATGCTTTTCTTGAAAAATGGTTGTACCACTAATCATTTGTCTGGAATATTGAAGCAAATTCGGTTTAAATTAAGACAGCTCCATTCGACTAGTGGTTATAAACAACAACTAATGTAAGTTTAGAATTTAAAAATGCTTTTCCTTTCAATAAGTGTGCAAGCGAGTTCAGAATCGATCTTGAATAAAGGTGTCGCATACTGTTCAGTCAGATGGTTCGTTTCTCCTCAACACATATCATGAAAATTAACAGGAAGGTGTAGCGGATTGCTACGTTAGTAAAGCCTGGCCGACTCAGAAATCTTTGTGGCAGATTCTCCAACATCTAGCTAGACAGACTAAGCTATAGCCCAGCTATAAGGGAAACAGACGTGTAGCACGTTATACGTTTATTCGGTACGTATATTGATAGCGAAGTGTAATGTTGGCAAAGCGATTAGTTATCAGATAACTCTAGCATAATTCGCGTGAACATTAATAGCTAAGTATTTCTGAGCAATATTCTATGGTAGGATTTCTATTTGGTCATTGATAGAGTGTCCCACAAAGGCTTTACGATGATTACAACTTCTCGATAAAGACCGAAAACACCCCCCCCCCTCACTGGAATAGTTGAAGCTAAAAAATGTATCCACTGCTAATTATAAATCTCCAGAGGAAAAATCTCTAATTCTCGAGTTTGCCAAATTATGTCCCATTAGGGGATTTGGAAAAGTAAAATGTCAAATATGGGTATTCAAGAGTCAAATGGCAGGCGTTCATCATTAGCCCTTTAATTGACTTCAGGCTTCACAGAGGGGGGGGAGGAACATCAAAGTGGAAAAAAAGTCGAGAGGGGGGGACAGAAGAGTGCTTCAAAGACGAAGGAAGAAAAGGTAGAAAAAAGGTGAGGTGAGTACTGTGAAATTAGTCGCAGTGGGATCATGGCAGTTTGAAGTCAGAAGTCAACTGCCCATTGAGAGACTTTTTTGTCGTATGAATATACGTTGCCCAGAGTGCACCACATGGAGGTAAGTCTATCGCACACCCCGAGTATTCAAGAGTAAAACGATGTTTTCGGGGTGATTGAGCTTTTATAAAAGCTATACTAAATTAATCATAAACATAATCTGCGTTTTAAATATACCCTGGACCTTATTCAAAGAGGAATAATATACAAAAGTTAGTTAGAGGTTAATGAAAATTCAGGAGGACAAGTTCATAACCGTTTTATATTTCAAAAATTGACTGACTTTTCACTAAAACCCAATGTATCTGAGCCTTTTCTCGTATTTTCAAAAATGCCCTAATTCTACTTCTAAGGTGATTTTCTAAACGTTTACATATCACATAGTTCAAAAATGTTCTTCCCTTAAACTATAGACGATGAACGGTCAAGTACTTCCGGCCTATTCGGCAGCAATGCGGATTGAATTCTCCCGACAGACGTACTTGGAGTTACGACAAGATGACAATACAAGCCGAGACTTTGTGATACAACCATTATCTCAGCAGGAGGAGGATGATCTTATCAAATCACTTACACCTACCCTCTAGAAGATGAAAAGATATTTTTTGCACTTCTACCAATCTCCATTGACTATTACCCACGAGAAAGGGCATAGCAAGTTGAAGCAGCCAAATTTGAGAAATCCCATTCAACCAAATGACAACATCTATCATATATCATTTCACTTTTCCCTCTCCTACCTACCATAGTTATTATCATTTCTTCTAGCACTGATTTGTATAAATAAGCATTTAATAAAATATTTGTGATTTCATTTTTGGATTTCCAAATTTTTGAAGAAGAACACATCAATTTATACTTGCCAAAATTATTTAGATTTAACTGCACTCATTTTATTTAAATTTAAAAATATTAATTAAAAATAGGATAGTTACAGTTTTTACAATGTAAATTTATATTGTTATGGCCAAATGAACCACATTCATTTATACGTAAACATAATTGAAAATACTACCTGTGCATGAAAGTAATTAAAAGGCAAGAGGATTTTTATATGGTTTCGTTGAATGCTATCAACTATATACGTTTGTAGATAATTTTGCTACAATTGAATTCCCAGAAAGCAGCATAACAGGAACGAATTCTGTTCATATATATTTAGAGGCCATTTATTGTATAATATGGAAAAAGCAACCCTTATTTTTGCAGAAAATAATCGATTTGTTAGTTTGCAAAAAGCCAATCACGAAATTCCCACTTGGTAGCATCTTCATAATGAAAATGGGTAAGCCAACTTACGACAAACCATTATCAGAAGTTTTTCTATAATAATTATTGATAGATACCATATGTTATCGCTCAGGTGTATATAAAAGAGTGCGTTTATTAAAATTGTGTTTGAGTCAAGACGTCTTATAAAAAAACCATACTTGAAAAGCAATATGAAGTTATGCATAAATGATGGTAAAATATGCGTTCAGATATTAAGTGATAATTTAGATACCCATCCGCAAACACTAAAATAGACATACACATAGATCATAGAAAAATAATAACAGTTGACACCATTAAGATATCTATTCATTCAACTTGATTTTTAATATAATAAACCTTAGTTCCTTTTGTAACAATAATTTGCTCATATGTTATTGTTCGATGATATCTAAAAGTTGATATTCAAATAAACTTCGGTGAATTAAACTCTAAGAGTATTATTACACAAAGTATCAAAATATATTAATAATCATTGACAATGGCAAATAAAATAGAAGAACCGGATCAAGGCAACATAATAGGGGAAAATATCAGCACGACAAGTAATGTCAAGTAAATCTGCCATTCAAAAATTCAAAAATGGACTAGATATTATATAAGTTAAAAATATTTAGAGTAAAATAATCAGCTTTAATATAAATCACATCTAAACACTTAGCATAAATTCATTTTGTTAAGAAATATATAACAACTAAAAATATCGATGTAGAGGGCATGATTCATAAATACATTACGAATTTCGATTTGCTTATCGTTTTTTTCCTTTGAAAAATAAGGATTATTTTTCCAACCTTTGGTTATATTTAACCGTAATATTTAAAGTGTACGTATAAGAACTGGGGATTCAAACATCAAAGGGTTGACTATAGTTGGGGGTGATGAGATGTCAATTTTCAGAGAAATGTGGAGGGGACTTACAGTCTGCCTTGCTATAGTAGTATATTTTATGTTTTCAATATTTTTAACCTTTCTTAACAATAATGTTATAAAAGTAATTCCAAATATACCTAATACGATTTACTTTAGGCATACCCTTATCCCTTGTCTATTACATTTACGCATTTGTTATTTAAATTCTGTTTCGCATACTCCCTCCGAAGCCTCCTTGGAAAATTTAAAAATAAAAGGAACGTCGAGCTTTCTTGGGAGAAGTATGCTATCGAAGTTTCTCCAACTGGTTTGTTGATTTATCTTTATAATTTTCAAGGCATCACAAGCGCCTTAGACATTGGCCTTTCAAACTGGAGTCTTGAATTTATTACAATCTCATTGTAAGGTTCAATTGTAGAATAACTTCATTTCATAGGTATACAATGACTAAATCTACTTCCATCATTTTCGTACTACTTTTTGCGGTTATTTTCAAACTCGAAAAACTGGTATCAAAATGCTGTTTTTTGATGACTTCTATGATTTAGACAACTTCTATTATCCTTGTTGTCCTCTCCATCTCATTAGGACTTTTTATGTTCACTTATGAGTCAACACAATTTGATCTCAGGGGTTTCGTACTTGTTCTAATTGCATCGGCCCTTAGCGGAGTTCGATGGACTGCGGCTCAAAAGGTGTCACAACATTCTGCCTATGGTGCGCAATTAATCCTTTCAATAAACAGTTATATAATTGATATTAATGTGCTTAATGTTGTGCAATATGTTGTTTAAAGGTCTTTCAAACCCAATCGATTTGGTCTATAACACCCAACCATGGATGGCCGCAGTTTTATTGCCTTTGGCCTTTGTATTTGAGGGTAAGAGGCCTCCAAACTCGATACTTTATATCCTACCAAAATATAAGCACATATTGGGGTTAACTTTAGGTGATGCATTTCTGACCTCGCCTTTCATCTTCCGATCTCAAGATTACCTCAGCATACTACGTTTTACTAGCTACATTGTCCTTGGTTCTTGCCTAGCCTTTGGCCTTGAAATTTCGGAATTTTTCGTTGTGTGCCATTCCTCCAGCCTTACTCTTTCAATAGCAGGCATTTTCAAGGTACTTTAACCGAGCCCCCTTTAAACCAAAGAGTAGGAGCAAATTCGGTACTAATGCAGTCTCTTTTGTATATTCTTTTCTTTTAGGAAGTTGTGACACTCTACTTAGCAGCAATTCTGAATGGGGACGTATACTCTCCGTTGAATATTGCTGGATTATTTATTTGTTTGGCAGGCATTTGTCTGCGTGTTGCAGTTAAATTTTTTAAGGGTGAGTCACTATTATAGCTTAATTTTACCACCTGTTTATCCATTTGCATGCTCGAGTTCTCATTGGACAAATAAAATTAGCCAATTTTTTTTATACATTTAACCCATAGGAACGGTATTTATAAATATAAGTTTTGTGCCAGTTTTAGCCCATGTGTTTACTGAGAGCAATTTATTCTTCTATTTTTGGTCCTATTTAACATTTAAATTAATGCAAGCGATCTATGCTAATGACGTGTTACTGATTTATGGTTATTGAAACGAATTTCATTTATAATCGCCTTAAAAATTAACGTTTGATCCTGTTTGATCTTATAAGTTGCAAATTGATGGAAACTCTGCCATTAAAGTCGTATTGCTAATTTTTGCATATGCGCGTGCGTGCGTGTGTGCGCGTGTGTGTTGTTGATCCTGGGTTTAAGTTACCGCTCATAAGGCATGGTTACGTTTGATATTTGTGTGCTTATCATTCTAACCATTTTAGGATTTTCCCATTTTATATGTTTCCATATTTATGTCTTAGTCTGCTAATGTATAAATTTTTTTCATTATTTTTCGATTGTTTTTGACAGTTGTCTTCGTGAGTTATTCGTCTTTTTCGATCAAGCTTGCTTTCCTGCCGCGTGGACATTTGTCTGCTTGGTCGTTTTATTCGCCTTTTTCATAACTTGTAATTGCGTTCACTTTAAGTCCATCTGAAATAACCATATTTTTACCCACACTTTACTTCCATATAATTTAGATTTCAGATACGAAATTAAGGAGATGATCACTTTCAATGCTAATCTCATGTTAAAACGATACATCTTATTGACTATTCCATGAAATTTGGTGCTGTCTTGTAGAGGTTGGGAGTAAATTCATCGAGTTTATTTATTTGTTGATTCTAAAGTAGAAGTTGTCCATCTATCTCTAACTATACAGACACCTCGAATCCGTTGATTTCTCACGAAAATTTCCTCAGATCAGGTTGAGCAGTGTTTCTTAAAAGATTAGTTATTCCATTTCACCACCATGATTGCTTCTGAAAGTCAACTTTGAACTCCACTTGACTGTAGTATTTATTTTCAAATCAAAATGGGGAGAAAATCCAAAGTAGGTGAGTGGGATACAAGAATTCCAACCTGCGCAAGGCAGACAGTGGAGCTGAGTCATAAAGGATCGATTCAGTTGCAAATCAATAATTGATATACAGTTGTGCTTTCGACACAAGACTTTAAGCATATCCTTATATGACTTCTTCTTTCTATGACGTATGTAGAAGGCGATATTATTTCCCAATTTATAGTTTCATTTACTCAGCCAACATGCCTGACTCCTATGGCGAACAATTATTTACTGAATTAAGGAAATTAAAAAAAACAATATTTGGTGAATTTAAATGGAATGAACTGATTGGGGTGGTTTAGGGAGGAGGGGGGGGGTGGTGAATAGGATTTTCTTTCCTCATCTTTCCCATTTATAAAATTGGTTTCAACTTGTCATCACCTTTCGATTTTTAGATCGCAAGTTAATAATGGGAAATGTTTAGTCGCCTCCCCCCGCCCCCGGTAATTAACTTCACCTCTATGGATCTCGTGTTTTGCTCTCTTGCGAATATGATCGTCTTTGAAATTTCGGATCGTTTTCTGTGTCTCTTTAGATAATAGTAAACTAGTTTGTCTTGACGCACTTGAATGAGTGTTTAGGAAAGCTGCAAGCATATGTCGGTGGACATTTGAATTATTTCAATTTTTGACTTGTCGAATTGAGACGAAGGGTTTAACCCAAGCCACTCGTTAATTATCCAACAGTTAGCTTAAATTAAAATGGATCGAACATAATTCGCAGGGCTGACAGAGAACCTTGCATATTTATTATGCAAAAGCTAAGATGTATTCTGCTACATACCCATGACCTGACCTGGAGTGTGGAGAACAGCCAAACCCTTGTTTTTGCTCGTCTTTAAACTACTGACTTCCTGAAATCTCTCCATTTGGGTTCGCAACGGATAGCCACACTAATAAGCCTTGATTTAAACGCAGTAATGGCTTTGGCAAAGATCTCCTAGTTCGGAAAGACTCCCAAGACTAGCTTAGCTACCGCAAAGCTATAGAGGAAGTAAACCCATGATTATTCGGGCTGCTGGGTGCATCACAGAGCTTAGTCGTTGAAATACAATGAAGAGACTATTGATTGGTGGCTGGTTGAGAGGCCTCTGTGCTCACGATCACACTTGCTCCTTACTGCCACAACTTCAAGTCTGCCTGAGTGCGCATGATATTTCTTTGTTCAGCCATGACAACGCTGTGTGCCCCACAAGCGTTGAATTGTTAATTAATGTCATTGTTTTTTACACTATTCAATTTAACCTAAATTTAGATAAACCAGCCCAGACAATTCATTAAAATCCATAATCATCAAGTGCATTACCAATTGTTAATTAGAAAACAATCTTTGATGTTTTTTCTGCTCTTTGTTTTATTTTTTGCAAATTAGTTCATGTCTTAAGATAAATTGGCACTCCATTTAAGTAATTTCACATATATACAGCGTGACTGAGAGCTTGCTCTTAAAATTACAAAATACGTTGCCAAGACAACAAACACAATGTAAAGTTTTGTTTAAAATTCTCCCACAGTTTCTTTAATCGCTTTGAACTTCTTTATAGAATCTGCTCATTTGGAACGTTTTCCATTTTGATCTATCCCCGTTTTTCATGGTTTGCTTATTACTGGACCCTCTGGTTCATTCTTGAGGGTTATTTCTTTTTCAGCTTCTCGACTAGTTCCAGGTACTTCCATTCTCTTTATTAATGGAAATAATTCCCTCAAAATGAATGAAATAATCTGTCGGAGTGTTGAGTCCTTTCTATTAGTTATAAAAATCCCCTTGTTTCAAGGGAGTAAATAGACTTCAAATAGCTGCATCAGGGTCTTAATAAATTCACGACTTTTCATTAGTATTGATTTTGTCATTAATATGAAATTTTAATTTTATCAGCAATTTTTTAAAATTTTATTTGTATAATTATAGGGCAATATTGTAGATAAGAATGCTTTGGTTTTTCAAAAAAAGTGATCATACCAAAAAATTCGCTTATTTTAACTTTCATTCCATTTTGCGTTTCAGTCGCACTTATCGTTATTAAACCTCTATCAATCCGATATATTCGGTTCTGATTTTGTTGTTGTGAAAAATTCAAGTATATCCGGTCCTTAACCACGCAGTATTAATTAGTGTTTTACTTAGGTGACTGACTGATTTATTTCGCTTATAAGTTATCAACTATACAGACTGCTAAGTACTTCAACTTTTGCATATTCTCAACTGTCTTCTTGGTTTTTTTTCTCACACCTAGCTATCGTCGAGAGAAGAATTCCAAATCTCAACTGATGAACGAAAGACTACCTCCACTGTTGAGGACACACTTTACTATCACCTGACTAGTGTTGTTGTCTTAAAATTATTTTTGTTTTATAAAAATGTACTCTCCGTTCTCCATGATTACGGAAAACCTGTCTTTTTTGGCAAATTTTAAAGTGTCGGGGTTCTAAGATGCAAAGTAAATCGTGCTTTCAAATGAATTTACGTGCATTTTACTGAAGTTGCCGCATTAGAACTTTTCTTCCCAGGTCTAAATCGGAAAATCTCGACATAAAAGATGATTTATACGGTCACGATATCAAGAACACTGGGCCCCTTCCAGTGAATAAAGGCGTTCCTTTAAGCGGTATTTACTCGCCAGCATTTTAACATCGATTTCACAAATAATTGCCTCAATTATTGGTAACCTGGTGCGTGAATTTGCTAATTTTATAATTTGCTTCGACTTTAAAATGAGAGATTCTCCCATTAGATCTTCGCGACTATCTAAGGGGTATTCAACTACAAGTGTGCATGGACGATGGCCTCATTTCTAAAAGTGACATTTTTTGGTTGAGTTTTGTTCATTTCTAGACAATAATTAGCTACCGTAAATTCAATTGCTTTGAATACTTTTTGGTAGATAATAGTTCTGCTGAAGTTGAAGAAAGATAAGTCAATCAAATAACTTTCAGTCTATTCAAACCTCCAAGGCCAATGACATTAAAAGTGCCATCACCAAGGCTGCGCGCGTGCAAGTATTCAAACCAAGAGGCTCAGATGATGTGAATTAATTCAAACGAGTAAATCTAATGACCGTGTTTATGAATTATTTATTGCAGTCCGTGTCACTATGTGTGGTAATTAAATAGTGTGTCTAGTAGCTCTCATCTCTGTTAGGTACCACTGTGATATAGCTTTGTGTTTTCAAAACAGCTTAGTAAGCTGTGCCCACGAGCTGTACACTCCCAATCAGAAGTCCACGTGAATCGATAAATCAATATTATGTGTGGAGGTGGTATAGTATTTATTGTTCTCGTCTACGAAATCTGAGGTCACGCATCTGAATGCCGTCAGTACACACACAATGCACGAAATGGTCAACCCCCCACCAATTAAGGGGGGGGGATGGGGTGCCAGATTTGGGTCTCCTACCATGGCGATCTAACAGCACAAACCTTCCAAATGGTAACCGTTGGAAAGCCATTTCTAAATGGGCTTTGGAAAGAAAATGGTTTAGTACTCTTTGATAGAAATCGGGCTACTTTAACGGATCATTGAATCACCAGAGGTGTTTGTGGACCATTACGGGGGTGTGCGATAGACTTACCTCCACGTGGTGCACCCCGGGCAACGTATACTCATACGGCAAAAAAGTCTATTGACCGGCAGTTGACCTCTTACCCCACTACTTTCACAGTACTCACCTCACCTTTTTTCTACCTTTGTGTCTGTCTCTTTTACATTGTTAAAACACTCTTCTGTCCACCCCCCCTTCTCGACATTTTGTCACTTCGATGTTCCTCCTCCTCTCTGTGAAACCTGAAGTCAACTAAAAAGGGCTGATGATAACTATCAAAACGCCTGACATTTGATATAAATAAATAAATATCTGCTA